GTCTTCATCTTTAAGTAGTGATATATTAAATCTCCAGTTTTTTCTTGGCGTAGTATTATTCTTGTAGTTGTTTTTTTTTTATTGCCATAGTACAAAGTTGACACCCATGCTACTCAAAAACCTGATAAGAACCACTCCAACCTCTCAGCACAAAGTAAAAGGTGTGGACTGACTAATATCTGAAAGCTTGAAAAACTTTTAGTACATATTTAGATTCCAAAACTCCAGCTCACAAACTTACCAGCATTATGTACCACACTTTGTATTACTCTGCAGGTTACTAAGCAAATGTCCACATTCAGAAAGGTGCATTGACCTTTATGAGTGTGGACAACTTGATGCCTAGAAGCAAAGACTGGGTCTTACATATTGAGAAGCACAATCTGGTGCTATTATCCTCTATGATCTGTGTGTGACTGTGTGCACAGATTTGACTGGGTACCATTCAAACACAGCAGCCACAGTGCTTGAACGGTGCCCAGCATCCTTCAGTGGTGCACACGAGGCACACACAGATATTCACAGTAATAAAATATTCAAATATGCACACCAATTGAGCTCCAGACGCTAAATCGTTTCAACATGTATTGGAACGAAGCGTAATAATCACAGACTCAGCCGGATTTGTCTGACTTTTCGTGTGTATCACAAGTGATGTTGCCCGTGGAAAAGACACGTCTGGTCTGAAATGAAGATCCAGTGTGACGTCTGCCATGTATGTTCCCCATCTCCCAGTGGAGCCCAGTGCTTTACTTACAGCCCCTCGGGCACAGACTGACTGCTATTTAAACAGTGCTGGTGAGCAAGAAATATGGCACAATCAGCTCCCTCAGTGATACTCACTTTGATGAATGAGCTGAGGTGTAAAGTATAGATTACCATTTTTGTTGTAGCACTGAAGATATATATGTGTGTCTTTCGCTAGAGGGCTTGGTATTATGTGTGTGCATCTGAGTGCGTGTGCATTGCATATTCTCCCTTGTGTCTGGGCTTTCAGATTTTCTGGAGTGATTGTACATTTTAAATTCCTCCCCTCTCTCAATTGTCTCATGGTGAATGTACACAGGCTATGGACTCCATTTTTCCACTCTCTCAGTGCCAGCCAGCCCCAGCCCCCCCCCCCCCCCCCCGCTCGTCACACAACCCCAGAGCAATTTATGTTTCCTCCCAGGAACCAGGAACCTTTTGCTCGTTAAACAAATGTGCTAACCAATACACTGTGAAGCCACTCTCTGTCATTAACGGATTCTTTTGTAATGTATGCAGAAATAAAACTATATTTAAATGACAAATATTGTTTTACTGATAAGCAGTGATCAATGGCTGCTGACTGGCTGACTGAGTACGCTATGAATGCTTACCCATTAAGGAAGAATAGTTCATTAAAGGTGGAACAGTTAATGAAAGTCCAAAAATGTATTTAAAAGTTTAGTGGAAAGCTTTTTTTTTTAAGTCCCATGTGGTCTTAAAAGTAATTAAATCTAGTGCTGTAACCAGGTACGGGAGATGACATTTCCATGATTATCCCACCCACCAAACTGGTCCAGCTGGATGAAACAGGCATCAGTGAGCGTAATAACACTATTAGGCACACTAAACACATCAGGGATGTGGGTGGTGATTAACCACATTATTGCATCATTTGATCTCCCAATTTGCTCGTAGGCAGAAAGTTGTGTCTTAAAATTACATTTTAACATAAGACTGCTATTGATGGAGCACAACTCAAATGAGGCTTTAACATGAATTCATTTCAAACCTTATGATCTTTAAGATGCCTGCAGACTGTCAGATTTTAGTAATCTTATACGTTTATCGCAACACATGTGAAATATGGATCTAACAAATGGAACTTCAATTTCTTCTTTGTTGGACTTGTAAACATTTTGTTTTGCAAGTTTGCAAGTTCAGGATCTCGGAAGTGCACAAAATGGTATTCCAGATCAGTCTCCAAGCAAAAGTTTCACATGCTCTTTTGCATGTATGCACATGTGACACACCAACATTTCAACAAACTCTTAGGATGCAAACAGACGGTGATACCACTTAGTTCTAGATCCAGACATGAGAGAGTTAGTAGTATCTTTTTCTCCTGCTTTTACATCTCTTTGTAAACTTACCAAATCGATCCATGCTGCCATTTAAAGTCTGTTAACCTCTTTGTCCTCTGCAGGAGTGTGCCTCGTGCTGGGTTGCATGATCTTCCCCGATGGATGGGACGCCGAGGTGATCCGTGACATGTGCGGGGAGCAGACAGGAAAATACTCCCTGGGCGACTGCTCTGTACGCTGGGCTTACATGCTGGCCATCATGGGAATCCTGGATGCCCTCATTCTCTCCTTCTTGGCCTTTGTCCTGGGCAACCGGCAGACGGATTTCTATCTTGATGATCTGCAAACAGACAACAAGGGTAAGTAAAGGAATAATGAAGAGCAGTGCTTTAAAAAGGATTCATTTGAACTAAAGACAACATGTCTTTCACTAAATTATTTCATTTACTTTCTAAACTCTCTTAGGCAAGCTTTCTTCTCATTGCTTTAAGTAGGCTTTAAGAAACAGTCTTCAGGATGGCTACTTAAAGAACATTCAAAGCTCTTTTTAGATGTTGGCTGCCTTTTCTTCCAATCTCAGTCAAGATGATCCCAAACTGCTTCAATAGTATTGACTTTCAGACTCCAAGAAAGCCAATCCTTGACCAATAATGATCCATTGTGTGTATTTCTATCCAGGTATTCTTTTACTGCATTTACTGAATTTAGAAATGGTTAAAAAATCTATTGTAATCCTGACTTTGAGAAAATAGTAATAATGAATAACTATGGGGTAAGACTGGAAACATGTCTGAGCTGAATGCATCAAATCTGGTAGTGCTAACCGTCCACCCAGTATGCTTGCTGCAAGAGAGACCTTTTATAAAAAGATGGCCTCTGAAATTGAAGCCAGTGCAAAAGCGTATTAAACTTCCATTTGTTCTAATAGCCATCAGTGGGGGCTCCTATAGTTGTAAACATAAAGCTTATTTCTAGTCTTATTTAACACACCGCCTGCAGACTTCTTTTTGAAATTCATTATACCATATTACATGGTGACTCAAAGAAAATTCCACTGCAGGTACAAATGTTTGTGACTGTTTAATTACATGCAGGTGACGCAAACGAAGAACCTAACAGTGGATTCACAGGGGGGGTGATGAATAGGAAAATCAAAGGAATTCGGAATTATAATTACAGTTTTTAAAATAAATATTGATACTAATAATTATATTATCATAACATGTGATTATAATCACATTATTATAATCGTATATGTTACATGTTATGATGCCGGTACCACAACACACACACCAAACACAACACACATATAAACTTTTATATAGTATTATATATATTGATATGTATATATAATATATAATATATATATTATATATATATATATATATATATATATATATATATATATATATATATATATATATATATATATATATATATATATGTATATGTATAGTATATATATATGTATATGTATATTATATGATATGTATATATGTATATGTATAGTATATGTATATATATATATATGTTTGGATGTTTATATATATGTATATATATATATATATTATATATATTATAGTTATATGATATATATATATATGTATTGATTATATGTATATATTATGTTATATATATATGTAGTATATTATATATATATATATATATGTTTGTATATATATATATATATATATATATATAGTAGTAGTGTATATATGTGTGTGGATATATATATATATATATATCGAGATGTGGAGGAGGAAGTAAACAGAGATAAGGCCTGATGGCAAGCTGAGCCTGATTATATATATATATGTGTGTGTATATATGTGTGTGTGTGTATAGGCTATTATCAGTATAGTAAGACAATGTTTGTTCTTTAAATTATAGTCTGATTCAGAATAAAATAGATAATAAAGCAGGGTATAATTTAAGTATCACTCGTATGATTAACAACTTGCTTTCAAATTGGTATTCATTGCCTTTGTTTTCTTAGTCAGCTTCTACACCAGTAAGTAATTATTAGTAATTATTCTTAAAAAACAAAACAAAAATGAATACAGCGATGGCCACAGTTATTAGCTGATTTTATCCAATCTTTTTTCTCCAGTTGCAACTCTTTAAACCCCATTACTGTAAAACCTACAAAGAAAAACAACTACATTTAGCGTAGTTCATAAAAGTAAATCAACTCAAAAGGTGAGTTAGGAAAGGCAGTTGTTTTTTCTCCAAATCTCATTTTTAGGGCTTTTTTGTCCATTAACATGAAATTTGTCCTGCTGAAAAATGAGTGCACTCCAACCTGACCTAAGTATCTTCAGCCAAATTGCATTCAGTGCTGAATTTAAGAGTGGGAGCAAGTCCTCCAGAGGATTTCTGACAGTTTGCATGATGTTGCATCAGGACACTCAAATCGCATTGTTTCAGCTGTATGAAAAGAGAGGAAGAGGAGGGAAGGAACAGCAGAAGGCAGAAATGAAGGGGGGAAGAGTAAAAGATATTGTAAAACATTTTATTAAATGTCCTTAAATAAGGTTTACGTGTTTGATTCGATCCCACACACAGAAAATAGAGAGACAGGCAGAAAGAAGACGATCTGTAACGGTGGACGAGAGTGTGAGCGACACAGAGACAGGGAGCACGAGTAAAGGAGTAAAGGAGAGAGGAGGAGGGGAGAGGAAGAGACTGAGAGATAAAGAGAGAGAATAGTGACATAAGATGTCTTGGTTCTCTGATGATCTATCTCCATGATGGTTTCCATGGTAACTGGAGATATTCCAGTGCGTGGGCGTGTCTTTCTCTTCTTATCTGATTAACCTCACTGACAGTTTTAGTGATTTTACCCATTTAATGCTTCACCAGCAGAGTAAAGTTTCTCTTGTCACGCACATTCTTTCATAAAAGAAAAAATGTCCCTGTAGATTATAGCCTGGGAACAGACCATGGGACTCTTTGTTGGCTATACACGTGACAAAATAAATTGAGTTGTACAACGGGAAAGCTGGATCAATAATAAGCCTATTTAAGGGTTATGTTTACATATACAGTGCACACTTTGAAAATGATTTACCGGCATAAATATGAGTTACAGTTTGCTTGGGTGTTAGAAGCTTCTCCAGTATCTCCAGGCCTGATAACTTTGAATCTCAATCTTGGTTTAATACAAAGCCTCTGCTGGCTTAATGAAGATGAAAATATTATCATATGCTGTGAAAAACTATTTGTCCCCTTCCTGGTTTCTTATTTTTGGTCTGTTTTTTTTTGTTTCTTTGTTTGTTTTACATATTTGTCAAACAAATTTAGTATTAGACAAAGATAACCTGAGTAACTACATCAAAGTCAAAGTACTACCATATGAAGTATTTAAATGACAATTTCATTAATTAAAGGGAAAAGTTATCCAGACCTCGTCGTGACCGTTCCTTCAAAGTAGCTGAATTAAAACAAAGAGTCGGTGCTGCAGAGAGTGGGTCACGGCACTGTGAAAGACTCACTGCCAGAGGTCACATTCCCAAGTTTACTTTTTCACATAGGATCAGGTAGATTTAGATATTTCCTTTTTTTTTTTTTCCTTAAGTACAATAATCATTTAAAAACTGCATTTTGTATTTACTCTGGCTATCACTGCTGATGTTCTGAAATATGCGAATAAAAAAACTGAATAGAAGTCAAGAAGGAGGAATTTTTAAAAAAATCCCCCTGCAGCCTGCACTTCAGTTTGTGAATTATTGGCTGATTCACTTGTTTTCTCAGAACTCCCTGTTTCTGAGAAACTATTGGAGTGCTCGCCATTGGAGGGGAGTAGATCTGTATCTATGTTGTTCACATTTTTTGTTCTCTCTTGAGTAAAGCACTTCGTACCATGTTGTGGTATTCCTGGAGTTAGGGTTAGTAAATAAAGAGAAACTAACTTTTTATTTTCAAGGAAATACAGAACACAGAGTTAAGTTATCAAATTTAGAGCTGGATACAATTCTTAAATTTAAATGAAATAAGCTTTCTTGTTTGATCATTATAGAAGCCCTATTATCCTTCAACATTAACCCAACCATCGGGTTTCTTAACTGCATATTAAAGTGATTAAAATTACCCACAAAGCTCTTTTTACACAAAAAGAGTAAAATGAATAAGAATAAAAAAGCAGCTTGTTTCAGACAGAGGATGAACTGAGCATCTCCATACTAACAATCATGCAAAGCTACTTTTGTAGAGTCCAAGAGTAAGTTTAGGTTTTTGTTTTGAAACATTTAGTTTAAAACCTGCTCAGTTTAGCGCATCACAATATCTCAGTCGTTTAATAACAGTTTCATAAAAAGAAAACGTGTGGACGTGGCACAGACATCGATAGTAAATGAATGACCTTCTGTTTGTGCCCTTTTTGTTTGTTTGTAAGTGGTGACCTTAGCTTAGCTCATACTTACATAAGCATATTCACTCAATGCACAAATGCACTTTTTCCTGCCCCACTGTGTTTATGCCAACACTATTGTTCTTTTCTGTCCTTGCAGATTTTGCAGTGTCAAGGGTAAGTCGAGTTTCTTTATACATTTAATGTGCGTTATGTCTGAAGAATATATCTCCTAATAAAGAATTGTCACTGGTAATATTTGAGAAAACAGTTTATTTTTAAAAATTACTTTTATTATTTCACTATAAATATTTGTTTTTAGTTGATCGAGCAGCAGAGCTTATGTCAGTTCAAGTTTAGGTTAGGTATTCTAAGTTTGAATCATTTAAATATTAAACTCTGTTGGATATTTCTCACAGGAATATTTAAAAAGTTCAGCACAGTTTCTTTTTGTGTAGGTAGCTGATTCATAGTTATACACCGGAATCTCCTGATGCTCTTCACCTTGACAAACTTCGACCTACACAAACTGAACCAAACACATTTTTTCAACAGAAGCTCAAAACCATTTCACTTTGCTTTTACCAGATTAACCAGTAAAAAAAAAAGTACTCCCAGTTTATATACTGTTCATTTTGCTGTCCAGTTTCTAAACAAAAACCTCCCTGCTAACCTCAAACAGAAACGCTGATTTTGGAGTGAAAAACACCATAAATATCTTAAAAAGCTGTGAAATGTTCAAAATGTGTAAAACACAAAGTAGGATTACATCTAACCTTAAATTGAATCTAATTAGACTTATTGAAACACAGTTGAAACAATCCAGTGCTTATTCTCCAAAAAACAAGGAATCATGTGGTTTACAGCTCTGTGGGCTTATTCGAAACAGTTTTAAACCAAAGGTAAAAGATTCAAACGGCTTCTGACTCTTTCTTTTTATCAGCTGAACTCAGAGAAGCTCTACGTAAAAATGTGAGACAGGTCGAGGTTTTCCTGGGAATTTAGTGGCAACCACACAGTACACTACTACTGCAATGTAAAGAAATGGTACATTTAGACACAAATTATTTTATAATAATAATCTTTAGTATTTATTACTATTATTATTATTATTATTATTGATGACATTGTTTTCTGTGAATATAGGTTTACCACGATAGCCCTAAAAGCCCACAGGTCTAGTTTTAGTGTTTCCAAAATTACCTTAAAGGTTTAGTTAACCCTTTAACGCCTAGTGCAGCGGTCCCCAACCCCCGGGCCTCGGACCGGTACCGGTCCGTGAGTCGTTTGGTACCGGGCCGCGAGAGTTGAGGCTCAGGTGTGAAATGTATGTTTTCAGGGTTTTTATCGGTTTTCAGCGTTATTTTGTTATCGTTTTTATCGTTTACTCGGTTTTCCTGGGTCTTTTCACGTGTGTTATGAATAAATCTTCTTTTTTTCGATACCAGTACTAGTTTTATTTTGTTGCTGTCCGTGGCGCAAAAAAGGTTGGGGACCGCTGGCCTAGTGTATCATATATGATACATACAGTTTTTTGCCAATTTTGGGGACATCAACATCATCAGTGTAAAAAGAATTAAGCAAAAGAAGGTTAAATAAACACTATTTTCAAACAATTTGAATTTTGGGGCAATTATTTCATGATTCAGGCTTTAAAGGGTTAAAAATTAAAATAAATCTTGTAAGAACTTTTACATATAATATTATTGTTCAACAAAGTTGATGGGCTGTTGCAATAGATGAAAGGTTAAAAGAGAAGCTTTCCACAATGTTGCTCAGTAGTAGTAGTATGCTTTTAGTGCTGTTAAACATTACTGCATTTAATACATCAAGACTCTCAATTTTAACAAGTCTTTGCTTAAACTCCAAGCCACAAAACTGTTTCACAAAGGTTATTTTCTGCTTTATGTTTTTTTACACTCCTGCCCACACCATTAATAACTTTGATTTCACCTATAAATCTCACCCATAGCTTCATTCCTTTTGAGCACAGTAATGAAGCCTCTGTGTTGTTTCCTTCAGATTGAGGTGCGGGACAGAAGAGAGCCACGATACGGAGTACAGCGTCTTCACTGAGGGCACTGGACAACTTCTCTTTCTCTGTTCTTCTCTTTCTGCCCTTCTCTTCTTCTCTTCTCTTGTCTCTCCTCTCCAATGATCAGGATATCACCCAATCTCAATGCAGACACCAAGTGTACAGGATTCTGTAAGATAAAAAACAACAACAACAACAACAACCAACCACACTGGGATAAACTATATTTTGGAAAAAAAAATTATACAAGGTTGTACAGTGCATTTAACACTTTCTCAATGAATACCTTTATGATGTAAAAAAGAAGAAAAAAAAGAAAAAAAAACTTTACTGTATTTAAAGTCTTGATTTTTTGGTGAAAAGTTCAATCCTTAAGATGAAGAACCATAATGCCCATTTATGATTTTACTGTGGTTAATTTGACTTATTGCTATTTACCAATGTTGAGTTTGTGTGTTGTGTCCATTCATAGCTTTCAGAGAGCAGATTCTCAATACTCCTCAAACACTGGTAGAGTGGAGACTCGCAATATGGCAGCAAGTCCATTATTAAATATTTAAAACACTTCAACAGGGACTCGTATGGCTCTTCATCTAAGGACTTTAAAATGTGAGAAATTTAAAGGAGTACCCCATTGCAGCTTTACAGAACCTAACATCTCTGGGAGATTCTCTACTGTACATACTTAACGATGTATATAACATTACTGCTGACAACAACAGCCGACAACAAAACCTCATCTAACTCTAATGCATTTGCGTATAGTATTTCTACCTTTGGTTTCAGTGTTCCTCGTGCTGGAAGAGCATCAGAGTATGTGCAAATTCATTGTGTTTCTTTGACTCCTCCCTTCTGAAGCTACAGATGGGCTTAAAAAACGGATTCCTGAGCTAAACATTCACCAGAGAAGCAGAGCAACGTGAATCAAAGTGATCATGTATGGTCACTTTGATTTCTTTTTTAATGGCACAGGAAATGAGACACATCCCTTGCATTAGCATGGCCTCAACAGAAGCCCCTTGTTGTAGTATGTCCCCATTGAGTATGGTGTACATTTTAAGCTGTTTAACTTAACAGCAGCTGTCTATTCAGAGTTAATCTTTTTTTTTTTTCTCCTCGCGCTATCCCACGATCCCCTTCTCCAGTGTGCAGTTTACTCCAGTTTATGGCTCCAGCATACAGTGATGAGTTTACTCTACAGATGTCTTAAGGCTGCATGAATATGACTGTAGGACTGCTGGCCCCATGTGGTGCAATGTTAAAAAGGTGATGTCACTTATATGCCTCTTTTAATAAACAACACTGTTTTGTAGTAGCCATAGGACCGATAGGAGGGTCACAATCCCAGCAAAAAAAATAAACAAATGAATAAAAGAAAAAGACTTTAAAGAGTACTAAAACACTTCAGACCATTAAGTCTTAACAGGGCTGTTAGACAGCAAAGATTTAAAACTCTTGTCATTCTGGGAAGGGCTGCATCCAGGATTTTCGTAGTAGAGAGTTTACGATTAAAATCCCACCAAGGCACTTCCTGTTCTTCCATAAAATATTGGCCAAATTCAAACATAACATATGTTTGTCCATGCATCTGAGAAAATATGGAGAGCTTATCTTATGAGAGAAAAAATCATCTACAGTTAAATCTTACTTTGATATGGCAGCAACAATTTAGAACTGTCAAGAAAATCATCAAGATTTCTTAAATAATTCTAATAAATCGTAATTCTGCTAAGCAAAAAAAAGGCTAATTTGTTTTTTTTGAAAAAACAAATATTGAAATTTAAGCATATGTAGGACAGATGTTGCCTTTGCCCTGTTCTCTGAAGTAGAATGATGACTGCTTGAGACAGTAGATCACATTTATAAGATGAAAGCTCCAGTTTTTTGATTTTTTTTATGGATGCTGTGCCCTTCTGTAATAACGGCCCTCACGCAAGGAACTTTTATAGTAGAGTCCCTGTGGTCTCTAAGAAGAATCTGTGCGGGTCCCTGTGGGCAAGTGCAAGACAAGCAAACTAATACCATGTTTGTAAATTTAATAACAAGATGTGTGTTCAGTCTGCTGTCTATAAATGATTCTTGCTGAGGCCCTTTGAGAACAGTCATATTGGGATCAGCAAATTAGTTACAATGTTACAATGATCACTATTCCGAGCACCACTGTCCAAAAAGAAAGTATTGTCCATGTAACATTGTTACCGTGACGTGTCACCAACCCCACCCTGATTTTGTCCCTCCAACAGAGTAACTTGATGTAGCACTAGACACGCAAGTGTCATTGGTTGTTATCCATGGTGACACATGTATGACAGTGATCATTGCTATACCAGCAACTTAAAATCAGGAGACTACAGACTTCCTCGGTTATCACAAAAATTGGCAAAGGATTCATCGCTATACACATGATAGTTTTTAAAGACATGAATCTGTTTCATCTGCAAGAGCATTCAGTACTCGGGTTTGAGCTGTTGAGTTGTGACTCACAACTGTACCCGTGTGCGCTGTTATAGCTTCCACAAGCTATAGCCAATTGATTTGTCTGCATCAGTGACACCGATTGTCATGATACCAGCGACAAGTGGGATTCTAGCGTGACAAGCTGCAGTTGCAACGAATGATAAAGCAAGCTGCTGTAATCCAAGGCACCGTGGGGCTCTTATCCCTCTCAGAGCAGCACTTGAGGCTGACATACTGTAAATGAACCTCGTAAAGCCTGGCTCAAGTCACGACAAGAATAGAATTAGCTCTGCACATGGGTAATTGTTTCAGATGAGATATTGGCACGCTTTGCCCTTTTAAGATCATAATGTAAACCCTACGAAGTAACTGATTCTATTTGAGGGAGCAATTCATCCACCACAAGGCCAAAGTACAGCCTAGTGAGGGGCACATTATACTGCATTATAGTTAATTAGAATTCATGTTATGCTCTGTTAGGGATGCATTGCTAACACAATCACTGTGGACCAGTAAAAGAATGCGATTCAAAAATCAGACTATGCCATTACAGCTAAGAATTTTAATTAAACTATCACAATTGTGGAATGAGTTACGGGAAGATGCCCAATATGGGTTTGAGATCAGCTCAATAGGTTATCCTGGGTATGTTATCACTATATAATGAGCAGATAGCTAGACTGTAGTGTTTTTTGTTAGAATGGTAGCTAGCTAACTCTCAGGAAGCTGTGTACACAGTACTGTATTAAAGGCTCAAGTGGAAACGATCAAACACAAGCAAGTCAAATATGCGATTAAAGTCTTTTCATTGATGGACTTAAGATGAGGTCAAAGTTTAAATGACGCATTGCTCAGCTGCATCCCTTGTTAGTAGAGTTTAAAGTAGAATAGTGCCGGTTTTCCAAGCTGGGCCTTTAAGACAATATGACAACAGCCCTTATGCTGATTCTAATGATGCTGTCCATGCAGGCTCTGCACAGACCCTTTGGCCTATATTGATCACCCACCCGGGCTAGAAGTGCTGGGCCCTCATTCAAGAAACGTTTCTTTCACTTTAACCATGAAGTAACTGTACGAGAAAAAGAAAAAAAACAATGCAAATGATTGAAAGAGACCTCATTCATTTGGTATAGCAAAACATATGTGTTTGCTTTTTATATGTGTGTGATCATTTGAGAGAACCAGAATGCTTTTTTTGTATCTAAAGTTTGCATAAAGCAGGCAGTAATGTCTCTCATGCAGTATATATTGGGATTTAAATATCTCCTATAGCGTGCATCTCTCATTTGGGAATACTTTCACAGGCCCAGGATGTATGTAACGACAAATCTACATAAAGAAAAAGAGCACGGGAAGAAAAAAAAAACCCTGAGGCCTAAATGGTCGAGTCAGGCTTCCAAGCATCATTACCTGCGTGATCAATGGTCTGGTCTCTTCTCCGGATACTCTGTTCCTGAGAACTTGACAATGAACTGAAAATATACCTTAACAAGGAACTGACAATACCTTAACCTTGATGAGCACATATTTGTACCACTTCAGGTGCCTCTAAGAACTCTTGATTTAATTCAGATGTGGTGCAGAACCAGCAAAACAAGTAGTGACACTGTAGTTTTTTCTACTGAAGACTACATACTCAGACTGAGCTCTGAAGTTAGGTGGGTTTTATTGCAGATTTGAGATCAATTCAGTTTCAAGTCAAAGAATTATAGCTAAAATAATATTGGCTAGTTTTCCCCAGTTATTTACCTTGCTTTGGGGAAACATTTTGATATTTAAAAATTTGTTGTTGTTGTTTTTTTGTTTTGTTTGGTTGGTTGGTTTTTTCCAATGTGCGATTGGACTGAATTCACCTCAGTCTTCGATTACATCATCTAAAGACATGAAAAAGAATGAAAAGCTAATAAAAGAGTCAATGACAAGTCATTTCCAATCTCTGGCCACAAATGAAAGCTTTGTGGATTATGTAAATGCCATTTATATGTCAATGATTTCATCATCTTTTTATCATGTAACATCATGTATAAAGACATCGTGTTTGGGGGTGGGATGGGACAGGGGCAAAGATGAGTAATGTCCAGTGACTTATGTTATGATAATAGTTCTGTTAACTCCTGAAATGCAGATGTTGCCAAAATACCATCAATGATCATGTGTTACCATGAAAATGAAAAAAAAAAGAGAAACACTTGATTTTGGTTTTGTATAACAAAAGAATGATATACTGATATTTGTCAAGTATTTCTGAAGAGATCTTTGTTTTATGTGTTAACTACAGACTCTTTCCTTTCTGTTATGCTTTACTTTCAGTGTATTTCAGTATGATGTATGATGATTGTTGTTTGGTCACATCAGGCTTAACATCTCAGACTCAGTTTCGTGTTACTAACAGATGACTGCTTGTTGAAATTTCAACACCCAAACATGTACAAAAATCTGTTTATAGGGTTGCTTGATGGTGGCCAAGTGGGCAGACTGTGAAAGAGGCTTGTTGTTTTCTTGGATTATGATGACATGCTGATTTTGATTTAAAAAAATTATAATGTTGAATGAATTCCTATTTGTGAATAGTATTCCAACTCACCATGATGACAATTTCTGTTATTGAAACACATTTTGAGAAGGTCAAATAAAAATATTTTACATTCAAAAAATACTGTCCCAGCTGGATCAGTGGACTGTTTTTTAGCGTACGGATGTAAAGCAGAGCAGTAAACACTGTTCTTCCGCGTACAGCCTCACACACCTCCCAGACAGAGTCCTGAGGCCTAGATCCATCACTGTGCATAAAGTTCTGGCTGAAATAGGACTATTTATGTAATTAACAGCCACACGCTAGTGCACCCGGCTCTGCTGTAGTGTTCAGGGTGAGTCACACAACCAATAATATCACACAGAGCCACTGCACACAGATGCACACGAAGAGGGTGGCATAGCCTGAGACTGCCTGTGACTGGAGAACCCACAACCTGTCACAGTAAGTACCTGTAATTCATCAGTGGCTTCCTTCTCTGTGTGGTCTGCTTTTAGCAGCTACCACATCGGTCACCCACAGTGTTATGTATTGAATTCTGTGCTGAATGTGTATGCACCCTTGGATACTGCATGGCTCGATCCACTACAATACAGTTATACTTTTAGAAACCTTAAATGTTTCACTGGCATTTAGGACTGCTTGGCTGACTTTTTCAAGAAGATTATTCTCATATGCTCTATAATCTTATACCTCTATATATGTGTGCAGGTGAAAAAAGAAACTAATGTAATGTATCATAGCAAGGTTTTGAACTTCACCATGTCCTGATAAGCTTCAGTCACACAGGCCTAAAGATTGACTTCCTGACAAAATCTGGTTGCTAGGGAGAAATGGGATACACTTTATAATTAAGCTCATGACTAACGCCATAATTTGCCTGTAATTAAATTAAATTTCCCTGCAAATACCTTCAGTTAGGTAGAACAATGGGTCTTACTTAAAGTCAGGTTATACTTTAAGTAAATTTAAGTAGTCTGTAAATAATTTTAACTAATGTGCAAGTCATTCATGTCGTGCATGAGTAATTCTAAGCATTCCATAGCTTAGAAACAAGTAGACACAAATTGTTCTGTAAGTAATTTTAATTTAGTTAGTGAGTCAGTGTTTTCCAGACAAAG